TCAGTCCGTTCGTCTGTGGACGTGGACGTGGACGTGGACGTGGCGGGTGTCGTCGGGGACGGGAGGGATCGGCCAAAGCCCATCAATCTGAAGTTGCGAGGGACCTGAACCAAATCAGTGGCATGACTTCGAAGTCCCCATTCTGGGGCGTTCACCCTCCTGAGATCTGGCGAGGCGCTGGCGGGCAGCGTGTAAGTTCATCTTTGGACTATTCAACATTGACTCTGTGATACAAAACATGATGTTATATCAGCCATGTGTGTGTGTGTGTGTGTGCATGTTTGTGTGTATGTATATGTATGGATGCGAGCGCATTTGTTTATGTCTCTCTAAGAATTTTAATTGTACCAGACTTGTTTTTGTGTACATTGCTGGGGTCGTAAATGCGAACTACCAAAGTCATGACGAAGAAATAAAACGTATGAGAAGCAATACACTCTACACTCGGCGTGTTGCCCACATGGTTTCCCGGCCACCTTGCGGCCACCGGTCGTCCCCACGTGCCCGCCTCTTCCCACTTGTACACCATCATTGATGTCACACGGAATCAAGAGGTGTCATAAGATGAAAAAGGTATTGCTTGGACAAACCAGTGTGACGTCGTCAGCGTAACAAAGAATATTAGACTCATCCAGTCACCGTCCCCAAGCGTCGCTCCGGTGCGGTACCCGATGGAGCGAGTGAGGGGCTAGGGAAATAGAGAGAGTGGGAGAGAGAGGGAACGAGAGGGAGAAAGGTCTGCGATGCGAACCGCCCTCCGAACGGGTTGAAAAGCAGCTGTCCCTTGGACCAGGGCAACATGTGAGGCGAGGAGGTGGACTCGACCCGACCCCCGTATGTGTGAGTGAGTGTGGTGAAAGGTGAAGGGGCAGGGAGAGGACAGGAGGGGCGGGGCCCGGGCTGAGTGAGCGGCCTCTCTCCTCCAAAACGGCGATACTCCGCACTGCTGCAAGGTCTCGTGGGCTTGGCGCCTCTGCACAGCTCAGTGTATCGTCGGTTAGGCATAGGAAAAGTAAATCCAAGTTGGATCAGGTTTTATTTTCTGCGTCTCTCAATAAAAGTATTAACTGTTGTTTCATTTTATATTTTCACCCCATGCCCAGCTATGAGTACCTACAACCGACATGGCCACAGGCAGCTTCACACGAACCGACTCACCCGGATAACAAATAAACGAAAAAGGGGAAGGACGCCCCTCACCGCAGTTGAAACATGGTATCTAAACATAATCAAACATAGTATCTAAATGTATTAGGCATCTCCCAGAAATTACAGTTGTTTATCTCAGGGGAAATAACGAGAGCTCAGACCCTGCGATTCTCGGGGTAGGCTACCCCGCAGTACACGCATGCACTGCAGACAAGATATTGCCTACCGACAAGGCGTTATAAGAGCTTGATGGGACTTGGCAGTTTCGTAACGGCGAATGGTGGACGTACTTTCTGAGTGATTTTAAGTTTTGTATCGAATTGAGGTGTCCCTTGATCTGTAGTATTTCAACCTAACTCAAAACGGAAAACTAAGTGCAGAGCTAAATCTGTACATCTGTACATCAATGTACCAGGTGTCCGTACGAATACGCGGCAGCTCGATGGGTTGCCTACGCACTAGCGTAGCGTGCAGGCGCGGAGGGCGCGGGGGGAGCGGTGGAGGTGCGCACCATCCAACGAATTCCGAACAGACTATAGAGGCGCCGTTTAGGACCAAACTATTTTTCAAAGAATGTGAAAAAGAGGGAGTACCTACCCCGCTTTTACAGTGCGGCAGTGTAGCACTAAGCTTTAGACGTGAATCACCTCCGTGCAACCGGCAGTTAAAATACCTCTTAGAGCCGGATTCATTTTACCTACAAAATTATCAAAAATGAAAAAAATGTGGG